TTCTTTCTTTCTTTCTTTCTTTCTTTCTTTCTCTCTCTCTCTCTCTCTCTCTCTCTCTCTCTCTCTCTCTCTCTCTCTCTTCTCTCTCTTTCTCTTTCTTTCCCACCTTTGTACTTCTGCAAGGCAATCTGACATGTCTACAATGTAGTCTTTCCCTATCTCTACTTTAGTATTCTTAGTATCTTTCAAAGCACAGCTTAGGTCCCAACTCCTACACAAGATCTTTCCCAATTTCCTGCATTGTTAAGATTGTCTCCCTCTTGAAATTATTTTGTATATATTTTGTATTTATATATGTATGAAAGCAGCATGGTTTGCAGGGGTGGGGAACCTGTGGCCTCGAGGACACATGTGGCCTTCGAGGTCCTCAAGTGAGGCCCTTTGACTTCATAGAACAAGGGGATTTATTCTATGAAGTTTGGATTCAGTCAAAGGGTAGAATTTGAGGACCTAGACGGTCACATGTGCCCTCAAGGCTGCAGGTTCTCCACCCTGGAATTCTGCTTTAGACACGTACTAGTTGTGAGACCCTGGGCAAATCACTTAATCTTTGTACCTAAGTTGCCTCACCAGAAAAAGGGGGTAGCAGGAGAAGGTGGGGGTCAGACTTGAAGGCCTCTAAGATCCTTGTTGCTGTAAAATCTATGATTCAACAATTTTGTGTTGTATGCTTCCCAGCAGATTGTAAGCTCTGAGGGCAGGAGCAATTTCATTGTTGTTTTTGCTAATCACAACTGTCTAGTACTGTGCTTTACATACTTAAATGCTTGTATTGAACTGAAAGTAAGATGCTTCCACTGGACACTAGAAACTCTATCAACCAGGTTGAGTTTGAGGATAGGCTGATATTACAGGAAACTACTCTGTTGTAAGCAGTTATACAAGTGCACTGGGGCCTATTTTGGCACTGGGCAATTGCCTGCTAGCCCATTTATAGATGCCAGACACCCTATATATGAAGTACTCAACAAAAGATCCCCGAGTGAATATTAATCTGTTCACTATATTTATACTATGCTTCAGATCCTAGACTCTAGAGGCTAGTTCAGGAGAGTTAAGATTGAAATCAGAAATTCAAGCAATGAACAAACTTTGGCATTTTTTGTTCTCTGTATCATCTCATAAGTACCTGGGCAGAAGATTTCTCAGAATGCAGCCAAGGTCATGAAGAGCAGCCTATTTCTGTGAGGAATAGTGACTCGCTCTGTGATTTCACTGGCACAGCAAACTCCAGAATATGAAAACTTTCTTTGCTATTGCACATCGGCACCATCTCTATCACTATAGCCTTAGAGAGTTGCCTAAGGTGAAGTGACTTGCCCAGGGACACACAGCTGGTTTATGTGTTGGGGCAGGGCTTAAACAGAAGTCTTTCTGGCTCTAAGACTAGCTGTCTATTCACTATACTATGCTGTTGCTATGAGTACAGGCCCAAAGTTAGTGATGATCACTCCTCCCTTTCCTTGCTCCTTCACCCCATCAATCAATTACAATGTTCGGAAATCCTGAAGCATAGATCTGGGAACAGGGGAAACATATGACACTTTACTTCTCCACCAATCACCACCCCAGAGGTTCTGGATGGGTGGGGGAAATTCTGTAAGACATAGGATTATTCCTATACAAAAAGGGAAAGCTGAGAAGCCATTTTGGGAAGCTGCTGCCTAACCACCCCAATTTGGCTCCAGACTTGGAGAACTGCTGCATCTTTCTTGTCTCCAGCTGGCTGTAAAGAATGTCCTTTACTGGATCTCAATTGGACACCTATATTTTTGACCATTTCCCCTACTTACATGCTGATTTACTCCATAAGTATTCATCTGAAGAAGCTTTGCCTTCATATTGGTAGGAATTTAAATGAGAAGGAGAAATTGATCAAATATCCTTCACTTTTTACAGAAATAGCTCTCATTTAAATTGCTGCATGGAATGGTCCTAATTTAAAAAGTCTACAGTAACAGATTGTGATAACAATAGAGTTATAAGAGGACAGGGACTTGTCAGGGCTGTTTTTCCCATTCCACTCACTTTAGCATCTAGGACATATGGTCTGTATAGTAAATCTAGGTTGGAAATTATGGCTTGCAGCTAAGCTTCCTGACATTTCCTGAAGATCAGGGCCACAGGTGGCTAAATACTGTAAGAAAAGACAAAAGCAGAATGCAAAGGGAACCCTGTCAGTGTAAGGAATGTGAAGCTGTGTCTTATGGCTCACCAGTGAACCACACCCAGGAGACACTTTCCCAAGGTAATGAGCACGGTTGATGTGACTGGGATAATTCAAAGCTTTTTGCCTATCTGAATATCCCACCCAGGAGACGAAGCCAGTATATGTGATGAGCACAGGGCAATGTATCTGTCAGGGCTCAAATTATAACGAGCATCAGGGAATCCACACAGTAGAGATGCTTGAGGAAGGTATTGTGTGAGGAAAAAAGCTCCATCTCACTGGCAAGTCTGCTCACGTATCAAGGAATGTGCTAGAGAAAAACCTTGTAAGCACAAGGAGGGGGGAAGTTATTCCATTTGTGTTCACGGGCAAACCCACCTAGAAATTTTGAAACAAAAACAAAACATTAACCCTCTAAGTGTGAGAAGTGTTAATTCCTATACTAGAAAGAGTCAAAAGACTTGAGACTCAGTTTCTTCATCTCTAAAATGAGGAAATTGGGCTAGAAAAGTTCTTAACCTGGGGTCCATGAATTAAAATATTTTCATGATTACATTTCAATTCAATTTGTTTTCTTTGTGTTCCTATATATTTTATGTATTTAAAAATATCATATACATACATGGGGTATGGGGAGCGATGGATGGAGTGCTAGATATGGGGTCAGGAAGATCTGAGTTCAATAAGTCTTCAGACATTTACTAGCTGTGTGACCCTGGGCAAATCACTTGACCTCTATCTGCTTTAGTTTTCTCCTCTGTAAAATGTAGATAAAATAGCACCTACCTTTCAGGGTTGTTATGAGGATGAAATACTTGTAAAGTGCTATACAAATGCTAGTTATTATATTCTGAGGAGTCTGTAATTTTCACCAGACTGCCAAAGGGGTCCATGACACAAAAAAGGTTAAGAATTCCTCTACTAGATGATTCCTCAGGCCCCTTCTAGGTTTACATCCTTAATCCTGACTCCACACACAATGAAGGAAACGATTTCTGTTGGCCTCTTGTCTGAAATTAAAATGTGTGTGTTCACAGCAAGATAAACATTTCTCTATCTCAGCTCCTATAGGGAATGGATGCTTCCAAAGTGGCCACTGCTATCCTTCCTGACAGAAATGGCCAGTTTCTCAAAACTAAAGTCAGACAGACAAGAGAAAAGTAGAAGGTAGCAAAGAGGGAAAGGGGGATGGATAGTCTCCCACCTAATAGCAATGTTAACACATACATGGTGTGGAAGGTGAGCAAAAAGGGGTTGGGATAGCCTGTATGTCTTTGCTTTAGCTGTCCCCCATGCCTGGAATATTCTATCCCCTCACCTACAACTCAGTTTCACTGGTTTCCTTTACCATTCAGTTCAAATCTTATTTTCTACAAGAGGCCTTTCTCTTCTATATTCCCTCCCATATACTTTGTGTATATTTTATATATCCTAGTTATCATTTAGAATGTATGCTCCCTGAAGGCAGAGCTTTTTTTTTTTTAACCTTTCTTTGTTTTCCCAGAACTTAGCACAGTGCTTAGCACTGATAAGCACTAAGGTCTTGACTGAGCATAATGCAGAGCCAAGGAATAACTACACATTTATGTAGTGCTTTAAGGTCTGAAAAGTGCTTTCCTTACAACCTCAGTGAAATAAATTCAAATATTATCTCCATTGTACAGATTAGGAAACTAAGTCTCTCTGAGATTAAGTGACTTGCTCAGGGTCACCCTGTCTGAAACGTTAGCTCAAAGCAGGGCAACTGGGGTGATAAGACCTAAAGACTGTGTCACATGAATAACAGTTCAAGGAAATGGGTATGTTTAGCCTGGAGAAGACTGGAATATGAAAGCTGTCTTCATGTATCTGAGGTATGGTCATGTAGAAGAGAGAAAACTTGTTTTCCTTGGCCCTACAGAGCAGAACTTGGAGCAATGAAGCTGCAGACTGGTGGATTTAGGCTTAAAGTAACAGAAATCTTCCTGAAAATTAGAACTGTCCAAAAGTGGAAGGGGCTGCTTCCAGGTAATAAGTTCATAATTACTGGAGGTCATTAATGGAGGGCTAGATGACCACTTGTTAGAGATATTATCTCAGGGATTATAGATGTGGGTTGGATTAGATGCCCTCTTTCTACTAATAACCCTCCAAATCCCTGTTTCACAGAATCTCTGTGTTCCAGAAAATGGAGGGGTTCAATTCCCGTGATTTCCTCATTTCTAGGAGGTGGACTCAGAGATCCTACAACCCACAAGCCATTGTATCATCACCAAACTATTGAGAACTCCACAGCTCTGGTCTTTGCTTGAAGGCCTCAGTTTTAAGATATATAGTTTTAATCTGAGGATCCCAACCTCATATCTCCATAACATGGGAAATTCAAGATCTGGTCACAGATGGGAAGGGGAACCTTATTAAACCCTGCAGAAGAATACTGGAACCCTTGGTGCCCATCTGTTGAAGGAGAGAAATCTGGTTCTATACCCTCTACAACCACAATGGGGCTCTTTTCTGACTTGAGTATGAACTGGGATCCATCAGTTTGTGGCCTAAAGATGTTATGGGTAAGGTAGAAGTGCCAGCTGAGCCCATGGAGTTGCGTTTAGGGGAGTAGGTAGTGTCTAGTGGTTGGAGGACATTAGTTATCCGTGGCACACAAACATCTAAGCTTGCCTTCCTCAAGGAGATGATAGACTCTGCAGGTAGGTGTGGGTTCATGAGATCTACTAGTAGGAAGTGGTCTATTAGAGACTCAGAAATGAAGATACTGAAGACTGGACTGATGTGCTGCAACTGTGTCATCAACCAGCTCCCTGAGAATTCCAATAAGTCATTCTTAAAGGCAAGAGAAGTTCAGTGATCATTTTATTGAGGTAAATACAAAGTTTGCCCACGTACATGTCTGTAATGGGAATGTGGATACTGGCCACTCCCATATTCAGGTCCAGTTTCACTGTCCTATTGGAATAGGGGTGTATCTCTTCTGATCCGGATGGAGTGTGGTTACTGCTGTGACCTCAGGCTGCTCCTCCACAGCATGGACTAGTTCTGGCTTTGGCTCTGGCTTCTCAGGCCTATGCACCATATGGGTTGGGGGAAGTGTAGTGCCATCTTCCCCTACTTGGTTCGTTGGTAGAACTGGAAAACTGCTTTCTCTTGCTCATAGGTCTCGATGGAACCTGGTCGCAGTCGCCGAATCTCAGCCACAGCTTCTCCCCCGGCCAGGCCTTTCTCCTTCACCAGATAGCAGGCCAGCATGGTGCCTGTACGCCCATAACCCAGGGCACAATGAACCCCTACAGCCTGTGGGGATGGGGCTCAGTGGGGACAGAGTTCCAAAGGCCCTGTACCATCTCAGTCCCAGGGTTTTTAGGCTCTAGCCATTGACGGGACCACTGGATTAGAGATTTATAGCTGGAAATGACCTCAGAAACTGAGTCTGCCCAGAGAAATTAAGTGACTTGCCCAAGGTTACAGAAAATAGCAGAGCTAGTATTTGAATCCAGATACTGCCTCCTTAACCTCCCAGCAAGACCTGGAGCATTCCCCTTTTTTTAAATATGCCTAAGAATTGGGCACAGGTAATTTCTTAGAGGGGCCTAGTAGATAGTTAGGACTAACATCAGAAGAAGGAGGTAGCCTGGTCTGGGGACTATCTACTCATGCCTTTGAAGGAGAGAAGCAGCAGGTCCCAAGCTCAACTTCCCTTGCTGGGTAGGGTGGATGCTCCAGCTGAGCCAAAGAGTGGTACCTGGGATAGGAGGCAGCATATGCCTAAGCCCTCTCTTGTCTCAAGGAGGAATGAGGGACTTATAACTACAAATGACTCTAGCCTCAGGGTCTCTGCCAGTCAGAGGGTGTTCTTTGAGGCACAAGGGTCTTACTCTCCAGGTATCTCCCTCTCCCCCCATGCTTAGAATTTTCTTACCTTAATTTCTTTTCCTTCTGATGCTTCCTTTACTACAACCCTGTCCCCTGATCTGCTCTCAGGAATCTCTGACCATCTTCCTTGCTGAATTGCCTTAGAGACCTTCTACCTTCTACTAGCCAGTCTTGCTGGTGCCAATATCAGCATTCACATCCCTCAAGCTGTGAATGTTACTATTTCCCACCAGTGACTTTCCTTTGATCCCTAACGACTATTCACCATCTTCCCTTCCCTTTAACCCTGCTAGCTTCCTTAAGGACATCTGCTCAAATCCCACCTTTGGCAGGAGGTGCCTTTCCTTCCTTTTCCCATTTACTCTGTGCGTGTGATATATATGTATATTTACATATGTGATATATATCCAAATACATACATATACACACATACTCTCTACTCTGTGGATTCCCTCATACACACAGGTATAGACATATAAGTGCACACACACATATATCTCTGTGTATTAACTGTATATCTATATATAAGTATATATTTTACCTACATATTTATCTTCTATAACTCCCCCATCAGAATGTGAGCTCCTTCAGGGCAGGGGCTGTTTTTGCCTTTCTTAGTAGCCCCTGACCTTGGCACAATGCCAGTACTGACCACCCTCCCCACCCACCACCCAGGTGGCCAGGCTCTTCCTGGCCACACTGTCCCCCTTTTCCACGGTTCTCTCCACCTCCGTCCGGTTGTCTAGGGCCCACTGACCCGCCCGCCTCCAGCTCTCCAGGCCCGCTGACCCCGCCCCCTCTAGCTCTCCCTCCTCAGTCCCTGGCCCGCCCCCGCCCCGCAGGCTGACCTCTCCCCGCGCGTTAGCCTCATCCACGAGGCGCATAAAACGGTCGATCTGCTCGGGCGCCGGCGGGCAGAAGTCGGGGATGCGGAGCCGGTGCACGGTGAGGCCAGGGCAGGTGTCACTGTGGGGAGGCCCGCGCTCCGTCAGGGACACAAGGTGCCGCACTCCCTGAGCCCACAGGAACTGGTAGTGGGCGGGGAGCCGGGGCAGTGCCAGCCCCGCCAAGCGGCCCGGGAGCACCCATGAGAAGTTGGGGGGCTGGGAGCCCATAGCTGTAAGGGAGCTGGGGACGCCGGGGTCATTTGGGACTGCCCAGCCCCGCCTCCCTGGCCCCGCCCCGCCTCGCCTCGCGCCCTCCACCCTTTTTGCGGCAACCTGCGCTCCTCCACGGGTAGCCCACGGCTTCTAGGGTATTATCGGAGTCGAGCTGGCCCCGCTCTTCATCCCGGGGATTGGCTGATCATCAGGGATGGGGCGGAGCAAGACTCTGGAACTCCTTGTTACAAGGGACCGCTTTCCCAGCGGCCTGGCGGACGCAAGTCTATTGGCTAATTTGTCAAGAATGGGCGGGAATTATTAGAAAGGCTTACTTGGTGATTGGTGAAGCTGCTGTATCAGCTGAGTAGGGTGACAGACGAAGCCAAGGAGTTTACTCGAAAAGTGGAAAAACTCACCAAGATGCCGGGCTGTGCTGCCTCCTAGCCGCAGCTGTGAGGTAATTCACAACTTGTCCACCCGGCATATTTCCCTTTTAGGTCTTTCTTGTATCATTCTATTAGTTTCCTTTTCACTGGATTTTTTTTTAAAGCCCCTGTTGTGTGCCGAGCCTTGAGCTAGGCACTGGGGGAGATTCGACAACGCAATAATTTGGCTGCACAAAGACAGGCATACGTGATTTTTTTTCAGCCGTGATCAGAGCACCTCTGCAATAGTGTCTCTTAGGCGCCATGTTTTAGGAAGGATACTTATTAGCCCCCATGGTGAAGGGCTGTGACGTCATGCTCTATGGGGAAACTGAACTAGGACAGCGTGGAGGTTGGAGTAGGGACTGTAATTATCTAAATTGTGCTTGTCTCCTGGGAGGGCAGAAATGGGAGCTGCAAAGAAGTAAATTTAGATTTGATTTAAGGGGAAAACTGATTACAGGAAATGGAGTTTCCCCGGCCTGAGGTCTTCAAGCGGAAGCAGAATAACTTGTGGGGTATGAAGTGAAGAGAATTCTACTTCATCTTGGGCTCAGTATCTCCCCAAGGTACCTTGCACCTCAGATTCTGTGACTGGGTGACTCAGACCCTGTCCTCCTGGAGCTAGCAGGGGAATATGACTCATACACAAGTAACTCCAATGGAATATTAAGCATGACAAATGCATAAGAAAGATCCAATAGGGAGTATTAATTAGCCAATTTAAGTTGTACATTGACTTCCTCTCTTGCTCCCTTGTCCCTTGGCTAGTATGCTCAAACCTTCTCCCTCCTTCCAAACTTCCTTATTACTCCTGTCGAGGGCACCGACATTCTCAGTCACCCAGGCTCACAATCTAGGTGTCATCCTCACCTCCTCACTTTTTCGCACCCCCATTTCCAGTCTGTTGCTAAAACCTGGCAATTCTACTTTCCCAGCATCTCTATTATAAGCCGGCCTCTTTCTTCTGACACTGTCTCTACCCTGGTACAGGTCCTCATCATATGACCTTGGGACAGTTGCTCTGCCTGCCATAAGTCTTTCCCCATTCCAGTTCATCCTCCACCTACCTATCAAATTGATCTTCCTAAAGTGCAGGTCCTCCCCCCTCCCTCTGGCTCCCTACCATCTTCAGGATCAATGACAACATATTCTGTTTGACTTTAAAAGTCCTTTATAACCTGGCTCCTTCCTCCCTTTGCAGTCTTCTTATACCTTATTCCTTGGGGTGTATGGGATGTTCAGGGAGTATTAGCATCTCTTGTGTGAGGGCTTGCTGAACCCTTTTCAGGGCTGCTCATTTACCTCTGGTATCCATTCAGCTCTCACCTGTGGCTCCAAGAAGCTGTGGAATGCACAGTGGTACCCGTCTTGGCAGATGGGCTATACTAGGTTAAGAGTAACTGACAGGTCTCATACCATCGGTGAGTTAAGAGGATGTCTACTCCAAACATGTGAAGACTTCTCCCAATGGAATAGGCAGATGAGAACATTTTGTTCCAATGGCCATGAAGGTCCCTGAAGTAGGCACTGTACAGCACTTAAGAGCTTCCTCAGACATCAAAGAAGCCAAGGTCATCCACTGCATCCTGAGTCATTGCCAGTCATCCTGACTTTTGTCTTGCCGCTGGACTTCAGTGACCCTGGAAGAGGGAGACTGATGACTTTGCTCAACTCACCTCACTTAAATCCAATACTTGAGCAAGTCAGGATATCATCCCATGATATCGTTGGTCCTCTAAGAAAACGAAGGATGAACAACACCACCTTATTCCCCTTCCTGTACTCTGCAATCTGGTCCTTGATGTACCTTAGACAAAACACTGACATTACATCTCCCAACTCTCCATCCTTTTTCACTGGCTGTCCCCCTTCCTTGGAATCCTTTCCCTCCATATCTCTGCTTCCTGGCTTCCTTTTAAGTCTCAGCTGAAATCTCTCCATTTACAAGAAGTCTTTTTTCAATCTTCCTTAATGCTAATGCCTTCTCTCTGAGATTATCTCCAATTTACCCTGTATGTATCTTGTTTGTATACAGTGGTTTGCATGTTGTCTCATGTATCAGATTTTGAGTTTCTTGAGAGCAGAAACTGTTTTTGCTCTTACTTCCCCCTTCCCCTTTTTTTTGTTTCTCCAGAACTTAGCATAGCATCTGGCACATGTTATTGGTCAGTTGTATCTGACTCTTCATGACCCTGTGGACCATACTGTCCATGGAGTTTTCTTGTCAAAGATACTGAAGTGGTTTGCCATTTCCTTCTTCAGTAGATTGAGGCAAACAGAGGTTGAGCGACTTACCTAGGGTCACACAACTAGTAAGAATTTGAGGCTGGATTTGAACTCAAGTCTTCCTGACACCAGGCCCAGCACTCTCTCCACTGAGCTATCTGGTTACGATTTCTGGCACATATCAGGTGCTTAATAAATGCTTGTGGACCTGATGTAACTGTTGTTTCCCAGTGACTCCTCATCTCTACTTCCCAGCTCCCAAGCAACAATAAAATCCTCCTTTGCAATAAAGAATCAGTTAAAATAAACAAAAAACTGGCCGTGCCTAACAACATATTCCTCATTTTATAGTCCACCACCTATCTGCTGGAATATACTTCATCTTCAATCCCCTAAAGTTACCATTGAGTATAGCATTTATCAAGAGTCCTGCTTTATTTTAGTGGAACCTTGAAATTACCTTATTGTTGTCATCACATAAATTTTTCTCTTAGTTCTGCTTATTTTATTTGCTATCTGTTGCTATAGGTCTTCCAATATTTCTTGGAATTCTTCCTATTTGTTGCATCTTACAGTACAATTATATTCTACTACACTCACATACCATAATTTATTTAATCAGTCCCCAAACAATAGGCATTCACTTTGTAGTTTCCTTTTGTTTTGTTCTGGAGAGAGTACCACAAAAGTGTTGCTATGCATATTTATGTAGAGTTTATTCCCATCTTATCTTTGATCTCCTTGAGGCATAGTCCAATAGTGGTATAACTGGGTCAGTGGGTACATGCTGTTAATTGATTTTCTAGTATCGTTCCAAATTGTTTTCCAGGATGGATGGATCAATTCACAGTTCTACCAGCAGTGCATTAGTATGCCTGTATTTCTAGACCAGAGTCAAGTTCTGAAATCTGATGAAAGTCCAAGGCTACTTCAGACCTTCATAAAATCAAACAGAGTTATCAGTTGAGTGTGCTCAGAGGCCAGGATTGCCCAATACTAAATACTATAATTTGCAAGTTCACTATTCACTCTATTCATAGTTTAACTGTTGTTGCTATTGTTGTTTTAGAGCTGGAAGGGACATTAGAGATCAGTAGTAAAACTGCCTCATTTTATAATTGAAATAAAGCCCAAGGGAGAATTGATTATTTCAGGATGGGTCCTTGAGTTCCAACCTGCTGTGATTCCAAGGGTGGCAGACCTTTAGGAAAAGCTCAGTAGCATATTTGAGGGAGACTTGTCTGATCCTTTAGCTATAGCTTTTTAGAATTCTACTTGGCTCACTATTGTTAGTTCTGCAGAAGAAGGAATCTTTGGAACAGTCCTCTTTCTCTTGCTTTAAAGTCTTTGTCCTTTTTCTCTCCCTATTTGAATTCTACCCATCTTTCAAGCCCCAGCTCAAGACATACTACCCTCAAGCAGCCTCTTTTGACTATTCCATTGTGAACTGATCTTGATGTTCTTTGGGGCTTCGAAACAACATTTAGCCCTTGGTTGCTAGATATGTTCCTTCATAGTGACCTCTCTAAACTTTTCCAATTGATGGGCACTACACAGAGGCTGGGCAATTTCTTGACAAAGATAATGGATTTATAACTGGAAAGCGCCTTATAGCTCTCATCTGAGGAAGTCACCTAATCCAAACCCTTCATTTTAGAGAAGAGAAAACAGAGGCCCTTGCTATACAGGTAATAAGTAGGTAACAAAGCCAGGATTTGAACCCTGGTGGTCTGAATCTAGATTTAGTGCTATTGCTCTTATACCACATTGCTTCACTGATCTGCAACATTCTGTAGTTGTTTAATGCTTAGAGCAGCTGGGTGGTGCAGTAAGTAAGAGTGCTGGGCCTGGAGTAAGGAAAACTCTCCTTTGTGAGTTCAAATCTGGCCTTAGACACTTATTAGCTGTATGACCCGGTGCAAGTCACTTAACCCTGTTTGTCTGTTTCCCCATTTGTAAAATGGGCTGGAGAAGAAATGGCAAACCATTCCGAGATCTTTGCCAAGAAAACTCCAAATGGGGTTTTGGACATGACTGAAAAAAATGACCAAACAAGAACAACTAGTTGGTTAATATGTCCTGTAAGTTTTGTCTCCTTTTCAAGATGACAAATTTCTGGAGCAAATGTGTCTTGTATGTCTTCTAGGACAGTAGTAGGCATAGTACAGCTGTTTTGTGCATATTATTATGATGGCTGTTTTGGAGGCAGTTCTTATGAAGGTAGGTTTAGAGCAACAATATTGGGCAGTGGCTAGAGGGCAGAGGTATGGAAAGGGAGCCTTGGGGGAAAAAGAGCAGGAGAGGCCTAGGGACGCAATAAAAATTATTCTCTATGTTTCTTGTAGCTTTTGGTGTGGAGATTCCATGTGTTTTCTTTGGCTCTGTGTTATGTTTCACATTTCTCAGTCGTTAATGATTCATTTTCCTACCTGGTCCTTAGAACAGAAGTTTCCAAACCTGGTTTGATGGCGCCCTGGGGTGTTTTTAGTTATCTAGTGAGGTGCTGTGAAATTCTCCAAAACAGGATTAATTCTAAATCACTTTAATTTTAAAAGTAAATAAATACTGCAGAGCTATTTGTGGGTGGAGTAGGGGAAGGGAGAGAAAGTATGTGAGTTTGTGTGGACTGTATATAATATGTGCATGAATGTTTTTGTGAAGAAATCAAACTAAAATGACAGGGCTACTAGATTATAAGCTCTTTATCTTATTTATCTCCCAACTCCCTTAGAGTCTAGTCCAGTGCCTTATAACTAGTTAGTGTTAATAAGTTTCTTTTTTTTTTTTAAGGATTGAATGAAGT